GACATCAAGGTTCTGTCTGAGAAAAGCCACAATTTGACTTCTGATGGAGGGTTACAGCTCGCGTCCAATTTTCAGTTCTTTTGACGAGTCATCTGTACAAACTTGGACTCCTTCCAACTCTTCGATGGGTTTTCCCCTTCGATTTTGATCTGCGGGTCTAGTGAACTAAGTTTGGAATCCCATACGTGAGCCATATGCGCTCCCGGGAGGTTGCATAAACGACGATCATAGGCTTTCAATTGACATGTGTCAGCAAGCTCCTTGTTTCCTTTGACTTTTCCCACACCATGGGAAGTGGAAAATTTAATTGAATAGTAGAATAGTGACACCAATGCTTTCAAATTGAATATCAATGGTTGTCCCATGACGGCGTCATAAGACGACGGAGTATCAAACACCACGAACTCGGAGTTTGTCTTTACTTAACGGGTTGTCGATCCGGACTCAACTTTGAGTTTGATTGATCCTTTAGCTGAGGTCAGGGCTCTGCTTAGTCCAATGACCATATTTGAGTATGGTCATAGAAAGTTGGTAGGTATACCCATCCACTTGAGAGTGTTGTTGAAGAGAATGTTGAGAGCACTTCCCATATTCACTAAGACTTTTGGGATGGTTACTTGGCGACAAGTAATGAGATTACCAGGACTCCAGGGTAGGGATGTGGATCTGCTTCTTTTTCATCAAAGGATAACTAGTCATCTGTAGGTCGCTTGAAATGTTTCTCAGTTATGCCGATCTCAGAGAGATCCGCCACGATTGGTCTCTTCAGTTTGGCTTCCCCGACTCGTGTATTTGCCCTGTCCCTTAGCATGTTAACCTGAGGTTTGGGTAGGTCTATATTGCATGCTCTGGCCCCAGCTTGGTCTCCTCGGACTATCCCGGTCCCATGAGGGATAGGCAACTTCATACAGTAATGATAGATTGATGTGGTGGCTTTTAGCTCGTGCAATATGGGTCGTCCTAATACTGCGTTGTAGTTGGACGACAGATCGACTACCACGAAATCTGCCAGAAGTCTTCTTTGACGAGGTGCTTCACCCTGCTCTACAATAAGGACGATCTGACCTGGGCCTCAATAGGGTTTCTGAAGAACCCCTGCAATTTCCTTGAGTATGGTTAAAGGTAGCGTTCGGATATCTCTAACTGCTTCAAAGTCCATGAATATAGTATGTTGTCCGAACTCCCATTATCCACTAATGTCTTGTGAACATTCATCCTGGCAACTGGCATGGTGACCACTAGGGCGTCACTTTGGTTCTGGAGGACTTCTCGAGAATCTTCCTCCGTGAACCAAAACCATTTAGGGTCTGTGTCGATCTGAGGGGTTTGATCTTCGTAGTTTGGCATGATCCGGGCATTTCGGGCTTATCTTGGACTCGCCCTTCTAGATCCCTCAATATATTGGTTTCCTTCGACCATCATTTTAATTTTGACAAGTTGGGTTGGATTACGATTGTGAATTGTCTACTGAGCTAGCGCAGGAGGTCCTTGTAGCAATGGTTCCTGTGGAGGAGGTCGGTCTATTTTTAGTTCAGCAACAAACTCTTGTAGCCGACCTCTTTGAATTAAGGACTCAATTTCCTCCTTCAATTCTCGACAGTTATCAGTGTCATGACCTACCATCCTGTGATATCAGCAGTATCACCCTTGGTGGTGTCCTTCCTGTCTACTCTTTTGGGTCACCGGCCTGCGGAATGCCTCTTTTTCACTAGTTTGCATGAATACTTCTTCCAAGGAGGCTTTGACTGGGTGGTATTCTCGAAATTTATGTGGCTGAGCCTTGTGACGCTCTCTTTCTCTCTTGTCCTTCTTTCTTTCATACTGAGGATTGTTATTCGACTTTTTCTCCTTTGCCATATTGCTAAGGTCGGGATTGCAATTGGCTTCCTCTTGATCAGAGGTTGCTTCTTCAGCACTTATGTATTTTTCAGCTCAGTTCAAGAACTCGTGATAGGTTCTTAGGCCTTCCTCGCGTACCGACCACCAGAATCTCGTTCTGGTTCTTAGTCCAGCCAGTATTGCTATGAGTGCGGCATCATCGGATATTTTTTCTACTTCCATAGATTGTTTGTTGAACCTGCTCAAGTAGCCTTTGAGGGGTTCACTCTTTCCTGGTTTGATACTTACTAATCACTTCTTGGGCGTGGTTTTGACTTTGGAGCCCATGAACTGTGCTAAAAATATTGTAGCCACCACATTCCAACTTTTTACCGACCTCTAGTGCAGTCTCCTGAACTACCTCTGAGCTTTGTCTTCCAGAGTTAGGGAGAATGCTCGACACATGATGGCGTCGCTTGTCCCCTGCAGCTCCATCCATGATGTATACTTGTCAAGGTGGCTAAGGGGATCACCATCTCCCTCGTACATGACCATCTGGGGAATCTTTATTTTTTTGGGCAATGGTTCTATGAAGACATCCTCAGCAAATGGGAAATGTCGCTTGGTGAGATAGTCTTCGGTGCCACCTATGTTTTTGGCCTCCAGCTCAGCGATGTGCCTTTTCAGCTTGCTCAGCTCGAGTTCTGTCTGTTCTAGAGGATGTTTAAGGTCAGAACCAGCCTGTCTCACATAGGGGTTAGCGAGTGCTGGGTCCCCAACTTGTCAAATACGCTGTCGGTCCTCATTGTCCAGGGATCCTTACTTTGAAGATTCTCCTCTTGAAAAGTGGAGAGTTCTTCTGGTGGGGGGACGTCTTGCCCTTGTCCTTGTAGGGGATTCCACCTTGATATCAGGTGGGAACAAGTGGGCTTGGCTTCGTTCTAATCGTCTTACTGCATTTTTTAATTTTTCTAGGGCTTTCCTCATGGCGGTCATTTGTGGGTCTTGTCGTCGTGGAGAATTTGGTGGAGTGTTGGTTTCATGAAGGTGGGTGTGAGACTGATTTCTAGAACTGGAGCTGTGACTCATGGTTCTCGAGTTTTGTGGGGAGAGTGGGGACGTCGAAATTTGCAAGGCTAATTTTGAGCCAACTTTAAGAAAAAGGAAAAAGGGCAATCTATTGCTAAATCAGATCATAAAATATATAGAGAAGATGTGATCGGATTATGATCTTTTTTTCTTGTTCGTCCCCTTTACAAAACTTCTACTCCATTATTTATATATGACTTTAGCCGAAATTATATCAAATCAGTCAAATCAGCTCCAGTGCTGAGCTCGGAACTCGGGTCACCGAATTCTCCTGTGATTGGTCGACGAGACCGGCGACCATGTGTCAATACTTTCTCCAAGTAATGATGACCTGCAAGGGCCTTGAGATTCTGGGCTTTGGATTGGTGGTTTTGGACGGTGGTGATGTCACTCCTGACAAATGTATTGATTTGAGAGATTGGTGTGATAAGGGGTAATCATGATGTTTTCAGAGGTTACGGCGAATCGAATCCGAACCGTGAAAGATCCAAACTCACACCTGATAGAGATGGACCCCAGGACAAATTTCATGATATCGGAGTTCGGTGGTCAACATTATTGTTATTATTATTATTATTATTATTATTATTATTATTATTATTATTATTATTATTATTATTATTATTATTATTATATATTGAAATGGTCTATATGAAAACATTTATTAAATGTATATAAAAATGTTATGGATAAATCAAACTGAGTCAGAACCAAGAATTGAAGTTTGAGTTTGGTTCCAATCATTCCAATGACCCGAATGGTTCAATTTATAAAATGTTCGAAATATAACGAGTGGATTCGGGTATTTTAGACTGATCCACGTGATGCCTAGGCTTACCAACAGCAAACCACCTTAACATTCATTTGCCTAACCCCACATGATTTACCACCGTCTAACTCAACTTCCATCGCTACATTTGGCAATCATGCACCGTCGCCACCACTTCACTAGTCAACTACCAAAAACCCCAAATCATTGCCCTCTTCTCTCGAAACCCTAAAACATAGTTGCCTCCTCTCTTGAATTGTGGACCAGACCTTGAATTCAACCATTGTCGATGGGATACACCATTGTGGACCTAAACCCATAGTTTCGCCATGCTCCACACTTCTGCATATGTGCTTTTGTGTTGATGGTTTATTGTAGTTTGGTAGTGAATTTGAGGTATGTTGAACATGAATGTGGTGGTGGTTTGATTGTGGAGGAGATAGTGGATTTGAGGTATGTTGAAGGTGAAGCTAGAGGTGATTGTGGATTCAAGGTAGGAATGGTAATGGTAGGTTGGAGATGGAAGTGGTAGTGGTGGTTGTGGATTTGATGTGGAGGCGGAGGTGAATGCGAAGGCGAAGGTGGAAGTGGGTAATGGTAGGTTGGAGATGAAAGTAGTAGTACTGGTTGTGGATTTGATGTGGAGGTGGATGTGGAGGTGGGAATGGGGTGGGGTGGATTTAAAATGACAGCGGCAATTTGGATGGTGTCAATGGTGGTTGAGCGGGGTGATATAAGATGGAATGAGATGAAGAGTGATTGTGATTGATTAATTGTATAATTTATGACTAATGAACAATTTGACCTAATAATGTGTGATTTACGATTAAACATGTAATTATGATTGACAAATTATGTCTTTGTCATTGTTACCTAGTGTAATTTGCAGTTAACAGGAGATCGTAACCATAAATTGTATGTTCTCGTGATTGTGATATCTTTAATTAAATTTTAGGTTACAATATTTTATCAGTGATCATAAAATATGACCACCTTATTTATAAAAATATTTTACAAATTTAATATTTTTGAAATTGTATTTTGAAACCGCTTGTATTTTTCATTAATATGAGCCATGACACACCAATATTGGGCTTTCCTAGCAGGGCCATGAATAAGATGCACTTCACATTGGTAAACTGTACAAAAAGTCATAAAATATCCAATCCACCGTCCACTTGAGGATTCCCCCCTTCAGATCTGTTGTCGTTTTCACTGTTCAGTAAACTAAAAGCGCAAAAAGCGAGAAAGAACTGTCTCAATAATTAATTAGATAAACTGTAATTTGCCACGTGTACGATCTTATCCATTTCATGAAGAGGTGCTCTATATCTTCTTCAAAGAAAAAAGAAAACCTTACAATTTCTTCATCTTTCTACTAAAAGACTTCATCAATGTCTACCACATTTTCACCGATCTTTTGCTCCACCGCACCAGCGAACTCCAGAAAACCTGATCCGTTTCGAAAATCGGCGGCGGGTACCAATTCGAACAACTGGTGGACGCCGATCTTCGGGTGGTCTTCGGAACCCGATTACATGAAGGGATCTGGTACTAGTTCTTCCAAGAACGAAGATTCGGGCCAGATCGAGAACGACATGGGAAGATCCAGACCCGAAAAGTTATTCCGGGGTTGTTTCACGGCAGAGAAGGCGAAGGAGCTAAGGAAGAAGACCATTGAGACCTCGACTTTTCACGATATTATGTATCATTCTGCAATCGCCTCCAGGCTTGCGTCCGATGTTTCAGACCGTTGATTTTCCGGTGAAGCCTACCGATAATCAATCCGTCGACCAAAAATCGTTTCACATAAATATGTGACCCTGTATTTCTTTTCTTTTTAATTGTTAGAAATAAGATTGTGTTTGGCTGTAATTAAAGACGCTTATTTTGAACTGTTGGTAGGTATGCTTGATCAATGATCAATGTATTGTTAGTTAATGAATCTGGATTATTAATGTGATTGCCTCTTATGCATTTGGATTTAGTTATGTTGTCTGGTAATGACAACAATCAACAAGATTCGGGCTTCTATCTCGTTCAAAATTTTTGAACGTCTAATTCACTTTATCAAATATGTGATCTAAAGCCCAAAGATGGACATACGAAAGCGCAAGCTCGACTACGACAGTCAAGGTCAAACGGCCTATGAGTAGGATGCATTTGAGGTGACGAGGTACCATCGATTGGTTCGTCGAGATTTTTTGAGAAATTACTGAGTTTTCTGACATTGTCGCGTTGCACACTTGAGTCCTAATCAAATATGTTATGTGATTAGAACTTCGAATTTTCAATTTCGATGCATGGAAGGCCCTTACTTGAACCGTCAAAGATCCGTTTGGCAAATGATAAATATATAATAATTAATAAGATTAAAAGTATGAAAGATAAATATGACTTTTTGGCCTTCGTAACAAACATTTTGAATGATATTGACTTGATGTAAACAGAGGGTCGATGATAAAAAAGGAAAAATATGAGAATATAGTTGCAAAAATAAGAAAAGTAAAGGGAAATTTATTGTAATTAAATCTGGTGCAGTTAACAAAAATTATAGTGAAAATATATTTATTTTTCATTTTTCATTCCATTTAGTCATTGTTTGCCTTCCATTAAAATTTTAATATATTTTTTTTCTTTTTTCAATCACACATTCTCTAATAATAAAGTCCTTATTTGAGTCCTATTCTTGTCAAAAATGTATTTTTGAATAGTGTAGAACAAATTGCTATAATACGCCCCCGCCTACGGATTTGATGAAAAATGTGTAGTTAAAAAATAAAAAAAATCTTGGATTTTGATGTAATATTATTTTATTGAAGATTCTATGATTAAAATAGGATCAAATCACTATTGAATAATATATTTTGATAAAAATGGGGCTCGAATAAGGGCAAAATAATATTATACATAAGTAAAAAACTTTCCCTTCATTTTTAGGCACACATTCTTCCAAAAATTATTATTTGAAAGTACATTTTACCCAACTTTCTCATTACAGAGGGACCGAAACAATGGCTTAATGTGTTAGACATAGGAAAAAGCCATGTGTACAGGAAAATGTTGACATAATTCACATAGACATTGACGTGGTGGAGCAAGATTGGCCTTTTTCTCTCTCCTCATCTTCCAATGATTCTATGTCATGTGTTGTCTGTCAAATTTTTTTGTTAAAGTCCCCGTTTGACTCCCATAAAATTTATAATACGTTTTTTCTTTTTCTTTATTTTAACCACACATTCTCCAATAAAATAATATTACACATAAATAAAAAAATTTCCCTCTTTTTTAACCACATATTTTTCAGAAAAATATTATTCCAAAAATTATAACAGCTAATGATGGGGGCTGAATTGGGGCAAAATTTCCTATACACACTTGATGAGTAAATTTAACGAATGCTCATCCAATTTTGGTGTATATTACTACTTGCTTACTAAACAACAAAACATAACCAATTGCCTTCCAATCTATCCAATTACTTACCCATTGCTCACACATCTCGTCTCCGTCTACTAAATTAACGGAATGTGCCACGTGGCAAATTTGAAATGAAATTAGGTGATGGTGTGGTACATGAAATGGCAACAACAGTCATCCTCTCCTTTCCTCTACTCTCAATCTCGAATTTTGGACCATGGAGTTCCTCCATGAGTATTGTTGACCCCAAAAAGTGCGCCAACAGATACCGGTCCCACCCGCGCTTGCGTGGACGAATGTCCAACACGCTAAGACACGTAACGGTCTAAAACGAGCAGTTCAAAGGGCGTGGGAGTAGCCCAACGACGCGGGGCGATGACGTTCGAAATCCGGCGGGTTGTTCGTAATCCGATTGTTCAATAATTACCAACCGGTGTTCACAAATGTATATGCAAATGTGTATAAACTCGATTTGTGTATTGCAAGTAAAATGAGAGAGAGTTGAGCAAATGTAGTTCTTTGTATTGATTCTTGCATTAGTCCTTTTGATATTACCCAAGGGAAGTATTTATAGTAGTACATATGAAATGGGAGCACTTGGATGAAGTGGCACGTGGCCTCATCTCTTTAGTTCAAACATCTTTTCCCAGGTATGGGGCTTGACTTGCTAGCTTGCGGCGCATTTATTGCTTGTGCAGGGCCTCCATGCTAGTGACAAGACTTGACCTTTATGCTTATGACAAACGTTCCATCAATCATTCAAATAAGATTTGTGCAGGCGATCTCTTGGGAGAAGTGACAATGGAGATGTTTCCTTGTGGTTCAGAGGCTCGCGCATCAGCTTCGGGGCTTCGGGCATTTGTCATGATACTTCCACTTGAGGGCCTCAACTGCTCTTAACAGGTTTCAGCAGCTTGGCTTTGGTTCGTAGGCCTCGGTCAATGGGCCTCGGCCAAGGGGAGCCTCGGCAGATGGACTTCGGCTCGAAGTAGTTCGGAGGCAGCCCACCTCGGCATTGTGTGCCACCTCGGCAGGGATGTCACGTGGATCACCATGAGTAGCCCATTGTCCCAAGTAGGTTGCCCAGGTGTGACAACACGCAACAATAGTCTCCAAGTCCAAGTATATTCATTTATGTAATGCATGGACTTTAATGGAGTAAAGATTGAAAGATTTTTTGGACCCCAAATAATAGTCCCCCAAGTCCAAGTATAGATATTTATATCATGGTTGGAGTTAGAGAAGTGTTGCTACGGGTGAGCGATGGAGTAGGCGAGGTGTTGAACATATGAAGCTGAAGCCGAAGTGGTTAAGGAACCGAACCTGTGAGGCTTGTTGCTGAATGTTGAAGAGGAAGCCGAGGTGGTTGGGAAACCGAACCTGCGAGGCTTGATGGCTGAAAGATAAGGACGACGCCGAGGTGGTTGAGGAACCGAGCCTGCAAGGCTTGTCACTGAATGTTGAGGAGGAAGCCGAGATGGTTGTGGAACCGAACCTGCGAGGCTTGATGGCTGAAAGATGAGGACGACGCCGAGGTGGTTGAGGAACCGAGCCTGCGAGGCTTGTCGCTGAATGTTGAGGAGGAAGCCAAGGTGGTTGAGGAACCGAACCTGCGAGACTTGATGGCTGAAAGATGAGGACGAAGCCGAGGTGGTTGAGGAACCGAGCCTGCGAGGCTTGTCGCTGAATGTTGAGGAGGAAGCCGAGGTCCAATGGTAATGATTGTGCCTTGATAGCTGAGCCAATGATTTGATGTCTTGTGCTTGTTTTTGAGGAGAAGTGGCTGAACCGTTTCGACTTCCAAGGCGCCTGCTGCCGTCATATTAAAAACGCAATTATGAAGGCAGCTGGCGCTTCTTGAAGCAGACGTGCTGGAAGAGGTGCGTGGGAGGCACGCATGAATCTGAGGCGTAGGATTGAAAAAACCCTTTGAATTCAACGTCTCGGATTGGATCTGAAATTGAGGGCTCAGATTGAGTGAAATTCGATCTAACGGCCGAGGTTCGTCCTAGACCTCTATAAAAGGTGAGGAAATCCCATTTTTCAGGATTTTCGAACATTTGCAGTCTGATATTCCCTTAAATCTCCGAATTTTTCCGGCGTCGAGGTCGACTGTAATTTCAGTTTCCGGCCAATCTCCATTTGTGTCGAATTCCCTTAGGTATATTTTGTAGAAAATACCATTTTACTGTCTTTTTTACTAAAAAAATGGAGTCCACTTCGAGTAGGGAGCTAGTGACAGTGGCGTCTTTAGACTATGGGGTAGGTCAGATGGGAGAGTCCGAGGTGGATAGGTATGCCATGACCGAGGACCCTGTAGACTATACCCAGGAGTGGGGGGCGTCTAGGGTACCTTCGAACATGACGTGGAAGAGGTTGGGGGAACTTAGGGAGAGGTATAGTGTACCCCACTCCATAGAAATGTTAGTCCTCGAGCCGAACGAGCGGGCCTGCTATCCGAGGCCCGGCTGCATGGCCGTCAGTGAATACCTGTTCAAGGCAGGTATGCGTCTACCTCTGCACCCCTTCTTCAGGGCGGTGCTTAGGAACTTCATGTTGTCGCCGACCCAAGTTCTGCCGAATAGGTAGAGCCAGCTGGTCGGCTCGTATTTCCTGTGGAAAGAAGTGTCACTTGGGGAGGACATGCCGCTCCATGTATTTATGACCCTATTCCAGCCTCGGGTGATTGGGAAAGAGTCTAGGGAGTGGTACTACCTCGCGCCTTGGGGGGGTCACGCACCTTTTGTGGTGGGACTTCCTTCCTCCATCAAGGGGTGGAAGGAATCTTGGTTCTGGATGCGAGGTAAGTGGCAAGCAGTGAAGGGGGACAAAGCCCTTACTTGCACCGTGCCGACCCAATACTACGAAGCTCGTGAGTCTCCCAGACCCTACTTATTTTCTGAATCCAAGGTTTGAATTTGTCTAACTGTTGGAACTTCCTTTGCAGATAGTAGTACGAGGTTCGAGCTCAGCTGCGAGGAGTTCGAGGTAATAGAGGACATCTACAAAAGGCCTCTGAAGCTTCGCCACTTCGACCACTTGATTGATAGGAGTCGCTATTTTCTGAACTTTGAGCTGATGGCATCCAGAGGTACGAAGCTCCCACAGTTACAATTCTTGTCCTTTTGTTCTGATACTGATGCTGACCTAATGTATTGTGCAGATAAATTCAAGAAGAGGGAGTACCCAGCTCCAGATATGGCTTCCATTCTGCAGGCAACTTCTACTGTGAAGGCGAGGCCTTTGAAGCAGGGCTCCAGTGGGGCGAAGGAAGTCCGAGGCAGGGTTGAACGCCTGTCCAAGGATTTTATTCCGCGGGCCTCGGATGAGGCAACACGAGGCAGGAGAAGCCGAAGGAGCCTCGGGGGAAGGAGAAGGTCCCTGAGGAGACGAAAAAGAGGAAGCTGGTGCATATCTCCAGCTCGGCTGGGAAATTTGGGACCTCTGTGTCCCATGAGGCAAAGCAGACTGGCGAGCCGAAGTTGCTTGCAGCCGCCTCGAAGGCCATCAAAATTGAGATGGTTAGAGAGGTAGAAGCCGAGGAGGCTAGAGCAGAG